ATCTTCACCCCCTCAAAGACTGTAATCCAAACACCACTACACCATCAGTATCCACGCAATACCCGGATCCCCCACCAGCTCATGAATCTCCATCAATGTTCTTTTTTTATTTCCTTTTTTTATCACAGCTGTTATAAATTATTATATAACAGCCATGTTGGCAGAATGATGTTTACAAACCAGGAGATTTTGGTGGTTGTGGCTATATGCCAGTGATGACACTGTCATGCATAATGGCATTCCACATGGTGTGCAGATATCCATCACCTAGCAGACTGCCGTTCTGGCGTCTCCCCTGTCTCCCTCTTGTCAGCTTCCTCTTGTCACTGGGATAAAAATAAGACTGTGACCGGATATTCTCCTCATTGGAGTTGTCTCCTGTTGACGAAACAGTGACTTGGATGAGATTGGTCATCCTGTTAAATCAGATTCAAGGCAGTGCACTAATGACTAAGCTCTGAAGGCTTCCTCCTATCGTGTCTGATGCCTACAACACAACAGTCTCGACTGGCCGACCCAGGAAACATTGCTTTTAGCGTGAATGAGATGAAAAGGCAAAGAAGAGGATATTTTATAGTAAGGTGTGAAGCAAATGACTTAAGGCGTTCGGAGCTATGCAACACCACCTGTGTTCATTTATTTCAAGGTGGCAGATCGTCTATCTCTATTAATATTAGCATCTTGGATTGTTAAGATCTATGACTCTGCCTGCTGTGTGCTGCAGTTAGGGAGAAACAAAGGCATATGTCAGTAAAATATTCAGGTGCTTTGATAGAAGTCAGCCATGTGGCTGCCCCGTGGGTCCAGAGAATTCCAATGCCTTTAATTTCCAGCCAGTAAATCTATACAAAAATATTTAAATAAGGTAAATCAACTAACCCGCCACCCACTCACTGACCCATTACCTTAGCAAAAAGGACTGGTTTTTCAGAGATAAGAAAAGAAGGAAGAATATATTTGATGGGCTATTATTGAGTGCACAATGAGGCTTGCCAGCAATAGTGACAGGTCCTCAATGTTCTGAATGAGCCTTGTGTGATATCAATACCCACAGTGGATTTGCCTAAACTATTACACGAAATATGTGTAATTCTCCAGAAACCCAATGGCGCGTCTTTGTAGGGAGCAGAGTTAGAGTGTTTTTTGTGATCCGAGCCCTCCAGGCCTGTTTAGACAGATGATGGAAGGGTGTTCCCAGTGGTACACTCCCAGGCCTACTTCTCATTCTCCACATGTGCTTCATCCACCGTGGCAGCATGCATGAGCGTGACATTTTGGTCAAGGTGTTTATAGTGAGAAATCTAACCCTTGCCCACAGCCTGCTCCCAGAATCTGCCATCATGTGAGATGATTAAAAATAACACCGGTACATGTTGGATTGATTGAGCTGATAAACGTTGTTACTCAGCAAAGGAAAATTAGTCTCGCTCAAAAACTGGAAGATGCAGCATGTGGCTATATACAGTGCTGTAAATTAAATAAATTAGTACTACTTCTACAGTCTTCAAATCATGTCTTCGTAAAACAAGCAGATGATCAAAACATTGAGCTACACTGTGTGTGGGTGCTGAGTCTTCAAAACTAAGAAATCACAGAAATTACATGATTTTATTTGAGCATTGAACACAATAATAAACTCTGTGAAGAATTTAGCTTTCTCTTATGTGTCGGGTGGCCATCATGCCACACATTCATCATCATTAGCAGCGCGAGCAGCAAACACCAGATGCCTCGGTATAGTGTTACATCAAATATGTCTGGGCAGCTACCATCAGCACCATGGGACATATGCATCTATTCTCTCACCTGGATCACACTCTTCTTACTCCATCTGTTTGAGATGATTCTGCAGCTGCCTTCACCCACTCTGTGCCTGTGTGGGCCTGATCGCTGGCCCACAAGGACACAGATTACTTTATGACTTTAGCACGTAACCCTGTTTTTACCCCTGTTCTGATTTTTCGTTGTTATTTACTGGTTTTATTTGTCTGTGAATACCTTTTGGTTTATCTGGTTTGGTTTGTAAAGTCAATTTGTGTTCACATTTATTTTAGCTGCATTTATATGTAAAACTGTACATTAGGATACAATATTTGTAGCAACAGTAGTGCTAGTAGCAGTAGTATAATCAGTTTGCCTTGTAACTGAGGTTAAAGTGTTTTTTCCCCACAATTACTGTTTATAAAATACACCCTTAAACTCAAAGTGCTTACAACCTTGTAACTGCTATTTCATTAGTTGCATTCATGAAATTACAACATCACTTACTGTAGGTTATGTGATCTGAACCATGTTTTTGATTAAAAAAGCTTTTGTGTTGCATCTCGGTGCCCTCATCAATCAAAGCTCTCTTGTTTATGCTGATGTTAATACTGCCAGGCTCACTCTGTTTCCTTATCAATTAAAAGAAAGTGGTCGGCAATCCATCAACTTCCATGTAACAAGCCATGCATATTGTGAAATGGTGTGTATGCAAACAGTGCGTGAATGATTTTGAATGATTTTGAATGAATTTTTGCGTTAAAAAAGTGTATATCTGCATTTTTATAGTACATGTTAAATTACGCAGAGCGCAGACGTCCTGCTGTTTGTGGCCTTTTATCAATTCACAAAAGGTGTCAGAAATAAAACGAGAGGGAGAAGCGTTCCAGACATCTCATTTTTTGCCTCAGAATAATGATCCTTTAACAACCTTCTAACAGACCCAATCTTGGGAACATTTTTTTTATAACTGGAAAGTCTGTTCCTGCTTGGCATGGGTGTATTTGAATTGATTACAGCGGTGGAGAGAGATATGGGAATCACCTTCCTCCAGTGAAAGTACACGTTGGGTTACAAACTGGGGATTTGCATGGTATTACTCATGACAGTTCGCATAGGCTTTATTCTCCACTCGGTGGTTAAGTCTTTTTAGGGCACAGCTACAGTAAGAATGTACCAGGAGTTATTGTTGAACAGTAATGAGTCATTCAGGCTGTGCCTCAAGGTATTGAAAGGAATTTATCCTGCCTCAGAAATATCCTGACACTGTAGAAAACGCAGTAGTATTCAGTATATTGACAGTTTCAAGGACAACCTACACAATTGGATGGAACAGTGCATAACACACTAAAGACAGTAGACCATTCAATGCTCCATAGAAAGAGTAATTTCACAAAATTCGCTAGTGGGAATTTATTACGCTATGCATAATTTCGGGAGGTTTTTTTGGAAACGGTTCGCCCGTGTCTCATCCACTAACGTGGAGGGGACGAGCTTTATGACTTGTACTGCAACCAGCCACCAGGGGTCGATCAAGATGTTGTGGCTTTACTTTTGGGGCACTGTCTTGTCCTCCATCTTTCTATAAAGTCTATGCTCAGTATAAACGGTAATCAAATGGAATGCCCATTGCTTGCTGCTCTGCTCACATTAATTATATTATTTTTCTGACAAAAATTGTGGCTTTGTCTCAGTCGTGACTGATGCATGATGGTGTATATTGCCTGATTTGACAGTCACTTGTACTCTACTTTTCACAATGACTTGTGGGATATTTTGAGTCCATGAATGAAAAATATATCTGTCTAAATGTGGGAAATGGAAATGGGTACTTCGTGATTTATTCATTCGCCACAGAGTGAATTTAAGACTTTAATGTTATGGATTGCCATTACGGCTCCAGCAGGAAATTTGACATCACACAACATTGCTTAATAGATAACAAACCTTATTTATCACTGTGTTTAAAGGCTCTTAAAAAAAAAAAACAATAGCTCACATTTGTCGTGCAGCTGTGAACAGAAGTGTAGAAAATTAGGGGGATTTGGTGGGTTGAGCAAGAAAAGATGAAGCTAAGCGAATGATTCAGCTTAGGTGATGTTAAATTGCTTCAGGGTAAACATTTTGAACAAGAGCCCAAAGAAACAAGGGAAGGGACAGAGTGGTAGAGAGACATGTTGAGTTTCAGTGTGTGTGTGTGTATGTGTGGACAGACAGAGAGTGCGTGAGTGGGGATGTCTCCATCCACTCTGAGAGAGCCTGGCTCCCCTCCTAGCCCGAGCACATTTTCCCGGGCATACCTCTGGCTTCATGCTGGCCTGTTCACGGAGCTAAATTGATGTGATTCGATGGTGCAGCAGCACCCACACTGTCCTAGACAAAGACCACACTGATCCCTGCCAGCCTTCTTCTTAACACGCACACAGAAAAACTACACAGATGCGTACTCACATTTATATGCATTCGGATGGAAATGAAAAATAAACAAGCCCAGTGCTTTAGGAACAAGGAATAAGATGGAATGTCGGGCGACAAATATGTGGATCTCATCATCTTCCTCTACATCCTCACCTACTGCTGAACAACAAAGTGCAGATGAAATATCCCCTCTCAGTCACAAGCTCTTAATGGGCGCTGAGTGGATTTTGATAAGGAGTGGAGCAGTTAGCAGTGCACACCGTGGTCTTCAATGGGATTAAGTGGCTTGGATGTTTAAGGCCATTAAAGTCTACACCAGCCCAGAAGTCCTCGAGCGCCTTATGAGTATATTTATCATCAGGATTAACAAACGCAGCCTGTGAACGCTTCCACCCCAGGAGTGCAGCCACCTCTACCCTTGTACCATTATTGTGTTTGGCTGAGTGGCTGATGATAAGAGCGCTTCAGCACCAGGGGAGATAAAGCTCTGGTCCCAGTCTGCTGACCATCCCCAGTGGACTGCTCTCAGAACAGCAACATCTGCATCCACCAGCTCATCTGTGTGCAATGTAAAATGCTATGGTTGGCTATCACTGTTAGGGCTAGTACATTGTTGTCTAATTCCTAAACCACAAACCTTGTGCATGATGTGATCAAAGAATAGACCCAAAAGTCATTCAACTGATGTTAGAGTAAGACAAGCTCTGTTGAGGACGTGTGTGTGCATTGTAATCTAGAGAATTATCAGAGATTTGACCATCAGCGTATTAAATCGTCCTACCCTAACCCATTTCCTGGTTACTTCCTCTCCCACTCCTCAGATCTTCCACATGACCTATGACCTAGCCAGTGCCATGGTGAGGATAGTCAACCTGATCGGCATGATGCTGCTGCTGTGTCACTGGGATGGCTGCCTGCAGTTCCTGGTGCCCATGCTGCAAGACTTCCCCGTCGACTGTTGGGTGTCCAAAAATAAGATGGTGGTGAGTGCTTCTCCAGCATCGAGTCCCCCTGCCTGCCGGAATACGATTATGCCCTGTCTTATCTCATCTGTCAGCTTTAGTAATTATTGTACTAAAACCCTTTAGCATCCTGGGAAAGATTGCCTCATGTATCTGTCATTTTAAGCCCTAAATCAAATATATTTATCTGCTACGTTTGCACACATTTATTCAATTTGCTGATTATTTTTCATTTATTTGGAGCTCCCAACATCTGTCCATATTGTGAAAGGAGAGAGACACTGAGGCTGTGCAGGAAACATTGATTTTCTGAGGAGGACAGATATTGGACAATACTGGTTGAATATTGACAGTTTCCAGTGAGCACTCACGCTGCGCTTTAATTTAGCTGTATTGTTAAAACAGCTGCTGTAGTAGAGTCTCTGTTAAAGCCAACTCATAATAAAGTTATCTTTTATTTGCTTATGGAAGTGGACTGTGTCACACCTGATGTGTGACTCTGAATCACCCGCAGCTGATGGCTCTCATGCTAAATTAGCATGATATATCAGAGTTATTGTCAGGTTTTCTGTTGGGGACCTCAATAAGGATCGATCTGACATCAGTGAATGCTTCTCTTTTCAGTGCAACCTACCAATAAATCAACATATATTTAACCCTTAAGGATTGCAGCTGACAAGAGTGTTCTCTAACTGATGGCTTATCAATATAAAATTCAATGTAAGTGCCAATAAAGCAATGTTTGGGCTTTTGTGTGGTTGGCAACTCATTTCAGAGAAAAATAAAAAGATGTGCACATAGTGGAATAAAAGCTTCCTGGATTGTGTAGGTTCATTGGCAACGTTTTCAATCAACAGGTTTGCCTCAGTCAGTTTAGTGAATTTAGCTACTTAGTATCCATCCAATGGTAACAATTCCCGTTGTGTTATCACGTCATTATCAGAATTTTATATTTATTATACAGGCAGAAATTACTTGTTTAAAGTAATTAAGTAATTCAAGTCAAAGATGGAACACTTCATTTATTACCGGAAAGATGACAGATTAAACTGTGGCAACATTGAGGTACACACATACCAGCACTAGTCAGCCGTGTGTTCAGCTCTCCGTGGCAGAACAGATGTCACATGAGTAGTTGCATCGCTCAAGGTATGATGCATTTGGTTCATCATGCCTCACTGCCTCCCTGACATGCTCACTTGTTATATTTAATCATAAGAAACGACAGATGCTGCAAACCACTGTCCCTTGAGATATTACACACGTTAGCTAATTTTAGCTCGTTTTCACACCTGATACACACACTCAGGTGAGGTGGTCCTATTCAGGGACAGTGTTGGTACTGGAGATCAAACCAGCAGCCTCGTTGACCAACCCTTTACCATCCTCCTTGTTTTTCAATTGTATGGAATAATGTGGATTATATCAAAAGAAATACATTCAGAGTTCTATGTTGCATGTGGTGAAATCCTAACCGTGACTATATCCCACATCCATTTTTTTTAGTTATATTCCCTTCACCACAATAAAAGATGCATTTTAATACAAGTTCAATATGCATAAAGCCAAGTTGCAAGAGGATTATATTAAATTACATAAGGCTGAGCTGTTAGGCAGCGTAATGTAAACTATGGTTCATCATTAAAGCTTTTTCTGCATCAGTGAAAACAAGGATATAATCGTTTGTATGAATCTTAAAAACATATTTGAACCTTAAACACATTGCAGGTGCAGAAAAGAATAAAACCTCAACAAAGAAATCCTGCAAAGCAATATGATAATTAGCTGTCCCAAAATAAATAAAAAAAGTCCTTTTATATGTTTACATTTTCAGACAAATATTGCCGTTACTCTGAACAAAAGCTTTACTTCTAACTTTACTTACTCCCATTAAAACGTGATAATGTAGTCTTTCATTTCCTAAATGTGTATACCTTCATCTCAGCAACTCTGGAATATGGACTCAAGTGATTTCATGCAGTTCTGAATTACATCAAGCCATTTTTTACTCCTCAGAGACATGTTTCCAAAACTTTCAAAGAGGTTGCACTGGCTGCCTCCTCAGATTTCTACACCCACAAACCACCCTTTGCATCTAGGAGTGCAGAGGCCCTGAGATATGAGACACTCATAATGTACTCAGTTTAAAATCCCAAGTGAGGGATGTAGCCTCTCATTAACATCAACATGGAGATTGTTTTGTTTCCCACAGTAAACACTGTCTAATTATTTGTATTACGTAGAAGGATAGCTCTCAATGTGACGACAATAACAATTATATCTTTCTGAATTAATTCAAGCCTTGAGGGCAGGCACCTCTCTGATGGAAAGCTCCTCATGTTTGGCTCGCATTACCTGCTAGACAAAGACTTTGTATTGACTCAGTCACGGTTGGGTTGGCTCTGATTAGAATCATTAGGAGCCATTTTTTTGTCCTCTTTTACAGTAGCTATCCCATTATCTTGATGGGTCATCGCTCCTCACCTTTTCAGTAGGGCACGAATACAATTGCTATCTCTCTCAGCTTTTCCGCTGTGGAAATGAGTTTGAAAGCAATTTGAACATGTCACCCCCAGGAGAGAGTTGATATTGATTTGCCATAAACTACTACCGGGATCTAAAGGAAAAGGGGCAATTTATCTACAAATGAGAAAACTCGAAGAGAAATCACATTTATTTTTTTAAATAGCTGACCTACTTTCTGTCATGCAAACCTCTAGTGTCTCACGCTCCATCCCCCCATTCTCGGGGCTCTGTTTTAGGCTTTTGCCCAAATGTCTGCGGCTTGCTCTAAATGTTTGCAGATTGAAAAGTACGTTTTACCCTGCCAGCTGCTCTGTATTGAACCAAGGAAGTCTGAAGTGGACGTCTGCCATTAGTTTTGTCTTAAGTAATTGAATGTGTGCGTGTATGTGTGTGAGCTGTCAGGGTGCTCATTGACCTTTAATGTGCCATCAACAGCATTATGAGTGAGAGAGAGAGAGAGTGAGCAAGATGAAAAGATAAAGTGTTGTCACCCTAACACACCTCATCTCCTCTTGTTTCATACAGAATGACACATGGGGACAGCAGTACTCCTACGCACTTTTCAAAGCTATGAGCCACATGCTGTGTATTGGGTATGGCATGTACCCCCCGGTGGGCATGACAGACGTGTGGCTGACCATCCTCAGCATGATTGTGGGTGCTACCTGCTACGCCATGTTTGTGGGCCACGCCACCGCGCTAATCCAATCACTGGACTCATCTCGACGGCAGTACCAGGAGAAGGTGAGTCAAGATGACGTGTTGCTTACAGCTGTGTTGCCTTGATTTATTTTGAAGAGAGGACAGTGGGTGGCAAGGCAGGATGTTGGATCGTCCTTGTCTTAAAGCTTTGTTTCATTTTGTCTTTCAATGCAGCAGTTCACCCCCATATTGATTTTCCTTGGTGATTGTGCAACCACACAGACATCTAGGTGTTCCATTCTCACTCTTCCAAAAAGGGAAAACAAACATCATCAGTCCTCTAAACCAGGGGTGTTCAGAGTCTGACATTGTAGAGCCCCCTCATAGACAAAAATGAGACAACTGCCGTGTCTACTCCAAGGTCAAAAAAAGCAAATTGCAGCATTACAGTGTAAAGGGTTTTATTAGGGCATACTGAGCAAGGTGTCCACATCCTCCTTTGCTCCTGCAACCGGACTTTTTATCCTGGACGGGTTTTTGCAGTGGTTCTTAGTGACCAGAACCCCACCCTCCCCAGTTCAGGGAAAGGAAAACCCCTGACAGTTGGTTGTGAAGGCCAAGTCGTGTTCCACAGTGCCGTGCCCTCTGTTTGCGCAGTGTGGGCGATAATGAGCTGAGCCGTGAGGCTGCCACATTGCCTACTGTCTGTGGCGATGAGAAGACGGGAGAGGACGACTTCTGGGGAATGGAGGCAGAGGCTCCAGAGACCCCACCCAAATGAAAAAGGGAGAGTGGGAGTGAAAGAGGGCAGAGAAAAAGTTGCAGGCAGACAAGCAGAGCAACGGATTAGCTGACATGATAGGTGTGTGTTACTACATCTTCAAAAGGAGAAAAAGGGTACAGGATAAATTAACACCTCACTAACCTTGGGGTGAGTAACAAAGAGATTTGTTTTCAACCAGATTCTAACCAGCTAAAAAGGGGAAAAATTCAAAAAGTAAAACACGTGACACATGACTAATCCTGCTGATCTGAGTAGCTGTTTAATGAAAGGGGAGCAAACCATCTCCCCGCTCAGCACTCTCCACCGTCTGCTGCTCTGCTTTAGAGATGCCTTGCTGCCAAGTAGACTGAACAGCTGGCCTGTCTCAGCACTAGTCAGCATGTGGTACCAAAGCCATTTGCAGCCGTTTCTGGGATCACCCCCTAAGGTGCCTTAAGAATCCCCCAGTGAGCTAAAAAAGGCTCCACTGTGCTCGCACAGCTTCCCACGGTGCCTGCCTGCAAAAAGGTTATTACTGCAGACTGCAATTAATTTTTAAGAGTGCGAATTCTCTCATTTATCTTTCCAAATGCCTCAGTGATAAGGCGCTCTCTGGGTGCAATGTCACTACGTGCGCATCTGGCTGTGGAAGCCGGATAGTAGTAATTTCTACTATACTGTTGCCCCTCCTCCTCCCTGCTTATCAGGGTTAGTTCCTTCAAAGACATAAACCTTTTTGTCATTGGCCATCGCATCGGTTGTGTGACAATGGGATCTGCTTCCCGGAGATTCCACTCTGCTTTTCCGTGTCAGACTAATACCATAATCCGTGCACTCAAGAAGTGGACAATCCATTGGTCAATCCCTGGAGTTTTAAGAAGGCAGGTGGCTGTTTTCATTGGGCGGCCATGACAGGAGCAGCTGTTCCTCTCTGCTGGGACTCAGCCCCGAGAGAAATCTGCCAGACACCAACAACACAGCAGCCACCGTGCACAAAGTTATTATACATACCTGTGATTTTACACTGTCTCATTAGTTAAACTGAGATGCTGGGGCTCTGTGTAACATCTCAAATAGCCACCTCTTAAAGCAGCCTAAGATGTGATGGAAGGGCATTTGTACGTTGCAGGTTGACTTAATGTTAATAGACCATTCAAAAACCATACACAATATCTGAATGGTAATATGATTACCATGACAATACAATAAGATACAGTACATGATGATAACACACAGTGATACAAATCCACGGCAGCATATACCAGGTACACAACTTTAAAAAGAATGCCACGTATTGGGTGAAATGAATGATGTATCAAGGCACTCTGCATAATAAAAAAACATGAATCTGCTTTGAAATACCAAATAGAGACACTCTTCAAAGATTTCTTTTTTTTTATTGTTAGATATTTGCATAATGCATGGTGGGTACTTTAAATAATAGTATATCTGTTTATATTAATCTCTTGTCGGGCATTATTATTGCTGTTATTGAACTCACAAACTCAGTCTCAGAGTGGGTACAGTACAAGGACACTGAGAGGCTTTAATTCTCATCAAAAGCAGTGTGTATTTGTAACACATTATATAAAACGGGTTTGCAAAAAGTGATTGTTTTTGTTTGTCATGAAAATTAAGAGGAAAAAATGTTCAAATCTCAAAAGCATGTTAAACTAAAGCTCTTCCATAAAATGCATTTTTCATCTTGGTCCCACTGCCTTTGATTGTTTCTGAACAACATCGCAGTGTTCAGACATTTTCAGTAAATTATTTGGCTTGCTGACTCAACACTTGCATAGCTGATGTGGCAGATTACAGACCGTGAAATATGAATGTTAATGCTGGTCTCTTTTCCATTGGCAGGCTGAGATGGATCTCTGTAGTTTGCAGTTTGGAGTTTTTGTGTTGGAAAGCCAAATATGCCCATGTTGATATTCCAAAGACGCTGTCAGCAACATTACAAAACTGCATAATTTGCATACACCCCCACTCTGTGAAGTAGCATGAATTGTGACTTATCTGCAATGTAGACGCTATGCAGCCCCATAAGTCACTGGCATGTGATTCGATAGTTGTGCTTATTACACAGTAATTACAAAGTTCAAAAGTGGTTGGCACTATTGATAAACATGAACGTTAGCTACCATGGAACTGTATTACAGTTGCCTTGTGAATGGCATTTGACCTGCAAGCAGTTAACAGCCAATGGGCAACAATGCAAATTACTTTCATAGTGGTGTGGAGGATAGATACTGACTTCTGTTAAAAATAACTCATAAAGCAGATCAACGTGGAGCCGTGCAGCACCACCCATCGGCACATTAAAGTGCCTCACACTGGTTTGATTTGACACCGGCTCTGTATTTATACGCTGTAAATGAGCTGCAAAAAGTAGAGCATGGAGCTCTCGCACACATGATACATAAGATGTGCATCATCTGTATGTCAGCCGTGAAGTTGGCATGCAGAGGTAATGTCCAGGAAACGGCTACATTTAAATGTAACCCACCTTCTGGGGGAATTTCATGAAGAAAATCAGTCTATTAAGGAATCTCAGAAGAGTACAGATGGGAAATAGGGAAGTAGGGAGAAAAAAAAAGCTCTGCCCTCAAAGATGGTGGAAATTATCATCAGAAAGCCTGGGTATAATCTTTTCTGAATAGAATTCTATTACAATGTGGCACCATGTGATAAATGCCCGGGCTGTCAGAAGACTTAAATGAGCTCTTAAATAGGAATCAGGCAGCCTGTTATTAACTGTTACACAAAATAGAGATTCCAACAATCACACTAAACACAAGGGTTTGAAATGTGGCTCACAGTGAGATGAGAAATTGCTTTTTATTAGATTCATCTTCACTATGCCCGTCTTTTGCTGTGTGTAAACGCAGGACTGTTGGTGCAGAATATTAAAGTAGGTGCATTTTCCACCTGTTTGCAACTCAATTTGTTGCAGATGTATCTGACTGCATGGGTTAGGTTGGGTCCATATTAGATGTGAATGGAATAGAGACAGACTGAAGCTGGACATGGTATTAGATTTTCTGAAGCACTCCTTTTTCTACTCAGTGTCTCCCATGTGCTAGAGATGCTGAGTGCTCTAGCCATAGTATTTTAGTTACATTTTCAAGTACACGCTGTGGTATCGTTCTTTAAAGTCTGTACTCTTTGCTAGTTAAGTTGAGTTCAATTGTACCAAGTGGTGCTATGACACTGGTTTTCATTATCAATTTTCTGTTAATTATTTTTCAAATCAAATATGAATCTATGAAATGGTAAAATAAGTAAAATATCCCGTCTTTAACATTGATTGTTTTGTCCAAATAACAGTCCAAAACCCAAAGATATTCAATTTACAATGACAATAGACAGATAAAGCAGCGAATACATCATTAAAGAATTAAGCATTTGTTGTTATATAAATATGTAAAATGTAATAAGTGGTTATTTTTCAAATTGTTTAAGCATTTGATATATTCTATTTCTATATGACAACAGATTTGAGCTGCGGCAGTGATTTAATCTTTATTCTTGAGTATTTATGTGTACCAACATTAATTTGGTATGTAACTGTCACTTCAGGAGAAGAATGTTACGCTGGTAAAATTACACTGTAATACATAATTGTACAATACTTTTTAGTATGTTATAGTAGTTCAGACTCCTGTAGCATTATAATACAATAGTATTATTCAATAAACTATTGGGGTCTCTCATCCCTACCAGCGAGCAGTTAGTTTAAAACATTGCGAGCTAGAATGGGTTAAGCATCTGCCAAATTCCCCCAAGGATTCCTCCCTTTTGTCTCAGACATGTTTAGAGCCATTATCACACAAAGAGAATTACATCTCTCCAGATTGGGGGCACAAGATGGCTGCACATGTGACTGTGCATACAGGATATGCCTGCCACTCCAGCTCTCTGTAAGCCGCTGCTTATCTGTCACTACGGCCCTCTACAGTGGAAATGCATAGAGAGATGGGGATAGGGACACCAAACAAAAGAGATCATGTCATTCATTTGTAGGTGACTTGTGATTCATTTAGTCTTACTTTCTTTATAGAAACCCTCTGATCCCTTTGAGCATTTCTCCTCTTAGGTTTTCAATAGTATATTATTAATAATATTAAGCGTGGGATAACTGAGTGATGTTCTGTTTGTTGTTGGTAGAGATGAAATCAGGGATGCCCAGGAGGGACTATGAGACGCGTGTTGTGGCATGCCAGTCCCAAATGGCTTTAAAAGAAATGGCAATTGGGTGCTGCAGTCCCTCCCCTTTAAGTCTCTAATTAACACATGGCAATTAAACACAGCTCTTTGGGGAATAGTTAATAAGAGGCCCAAAGCTGATTATTTGTGGGTGAAGAGGCTCAAGAGATCTTTTGTTCCCCCACTTCAATCCCCCAATCAAGACCTTTGGAAATACAGTAAATAGTCATCAGAGGGGGACTATATTTGCACTTATAGATTTGTACCTTTCTTTCCAAGAGTGGAAGAAATGTATTAATGCTGGCAGGGAACTAGTAAAACATGCAATGCTAGTTTTTCCTTATTCAAGCTAATTTATTTACTCAGTCATGTCTGTGTTTATTCATTTTGAACCCCAGTTTGAAAGAGGATGTATTTCATCCAACAATAGCAATAACTTTGTGTGGCCTTGTAGAGGTTAAGTCATGCTTTATCCATACAATCATCCCAAGGATACAGCTGTCAACATGTTGAGGAGCTTAAGTCTGATTCTGCCTTACAGTGAGAGACGTTCTCATTAGTCTGGACCTGACTGATGACATTATAATCTAAACCCTGTTACATTCCCTTTTCCTCCCTGTCTGCCACACAACTTTCACTGCTGGGTCCAGGACTGTTGACATGCCACTAGAGCTAATATAATGCAACCAATGTCAGTATTCTCTATATTCAATATCATGGTAAATGTTTGCTTTCTGCAGTATCTGCAGTATTCATGTCAAGGTTGTCATTTCAACAGACATTTCAACAAGCATTTCATTAGATATGCAGTAGCAACATGGTGTTTGTGAAGAGCAAGGGAATATCCTTAACTAGGCTGGGATGCAACACCCTCTTAACTAACTTTGGCCTAATTACATCACTAAATAATACAGCACTAAATAATCAATACATGGTACATACTGTACTTCCTTCCTTGCCTATGTTTTGGCAGTCTTCGTTAGCCTACATATGGATTGCTGATGTTGGCTATGTATGGCCATTCCCACGTGCGCTTTTTCTAGTGATCTTCCAGGGAAAATCAAGATGTGCTCTGAGGCCTCTAGAAGAGCATATAGTGCATTTATGCCATAATGAAGAAGCTTTTATTGCAGACTTTATGCAATGAAATAGAGTCAACAGCCATACTCCAGTAGCAGCTCTGTGAGGCTATACTTAGGCACATAGGTGATTTAAGCTAATTGCTGTGCTCACAATGACAGTGCTAACATGCTGATGTTAAGCATTTATAGCATTTATCATGTTCTCTTAGTTCTCTTATTTACATGCTAACATTTGCTACTTAGCGCTGAACACAAAATTAGGTTCAGTATCAGGATTAGTCCCAACCTTTTCATTGCAATCAATCTAATAGTTGTGAAGACATTGACACCAAAAACAGTAAATGTGAACCTCATAGTGGCTTTACAGGAAAAGTCAGGCGATCACCCGGGTTATTAGGCTTCATCCTCTGGGCACCTTGAATCTCTGTATACAATTTAATGGCAATGCATCCAATAGTTTAGACATTTCAGTCTGTGATATGATACGTACAGGTGCTGGCTGTCATTTTATGAAACCACCTGTCTCCCATTAGCTTGATACTTACTTCAATATATAAATGGCTTCTCATGTGCATTCCCATGCGCAAGACTAAGCTGTCCTCCTACACAAACAAAGCATGTGGAGCATTCGCTATAAAGGGGTTTGTTATTTTTTCTCTGTTGTCCTTTTTTCCTGCATATATTTGTGGGTTCAAATATCAAAGACTTCAGTTAGCCTTATTGTATGACCCAAACCTTTTGACCATGCAACACAAGGTTATAGAGTAGGAGACAGAACAGTGGAGAAAAATAAATGTTTAGAAATTATAATTAAGTGGCTGACATCTCTGTTGGGAAATGAATTATTTATATATATTTTGGAAAAATTTGCATCTGTTTGGAGAGCTGAGTGCGAGAAAAGGGAATTGGGGGAAAAATAAATAGCATGATAGAGGAGTAGAGGGACAGAAAGAAAAAGAAAATGAATGGGAAACCAAAGAATGGCCAAGTGGAGAGAGATCAAAACTAAGAAAAGGCAAGAAAGGATTTGGGAAATGAAATAGCATGAAGATGCAATTCTGTATAGCTCAGTGGGCCGAGTATGCTTCTTCTGTAATATTGCCAAGACTGGAAGCTAACAGGCTCAACGCCCACCATTGTAAAACTTTGTCCTGCCCTCTAGTCTTGTTATCACCGTGAGGTTGCCCTTATTGCCCGGCAAGTGGAGTCTCTGTTGACTGTGTTTTGGAGGTGCTTGTAAGCTAATTTAGTTACCTTTGGACAAAGTCAGACTAGCTGTCTCCCCTTTTGGTAAGTTAACAGTCTGCTCGTGGATACTATACAGATATGAAAGGGGTATGTCTCTTTTAATCGAACCATTTAGCGTATAATCCCAAATGTCAAACTAAAGCAAGACGGAAAGGAAGAGAGAATCAATCCTGTGGATCTCATCAGCTACTCCTACATTTTGAACAGCCCCCCTGCAGCCAGAACCCCTTGTTTTTCAGAGTGCAGGAAGGGTGGCTGATGCTGGAATGGTTACCTCCATAATGCGATTTAGCCAAGTAGAGCAAGGGTCTTCCTCGTGTCAGTGTGATGGCAGCTGTGCAGAAATAAGATATTTTGCCATCACAGGGGGTGTTATCAGCCCATAGCAGCATCAGGAGAGCGCCGTCCCACCGCGGTCGGTGTCTTTACTTCCCTGTCACCTCCTCTTCTCAGACTCAGCAGGGATAAGTAAATATAAAATGCCTTTGACTGAGCCACTGTGTGTAGTGCAGTTGCACTCATCACAATATAAAAAACAAGACATTATCTTGCATTTGTTCACTTGCCTAATGCCCTTTCATGCTGGGAGAATCAAATTGTAAAATGCTGCAAAGCTGAGGATAAATGTTTATTTTTTATTTTTTTTATGAATGTAAAAAAAAGGAAAGACGTTCTGAAGGAGATGATAATCCACGCCTTTGAAACAGAGCGCCATGCTGGGGCATGTCTAATGCAGGAGACATTAAGACATTTGACAGGATGCAGAATGTGGGTTACACCTGTCATCTTCACCCTGGCGTCCCACGCAGACAAGCCATCTTCGCTGCACTACTCTGCAGCCAATAGGACTGGAGTCTGTGGTTGTTTTCTAGAGCTGTCTGTCTCTTGTAGTAGGGGAGTGAAAGTTCTTCTCTGTGCGATGATTCTATTTCATCATCAGATCAGTAAATGCTCAATTTTATGCCAAAGGGATTATGTGGATAAAAACTCAAACCCTTACCCCCATCCATCTCTCCACATACGTACATGAGACTGGATATATAAAAGTTCCTTTCCACATCTTATTATTGCCTCTGCAAGTATTTGACTTTACACGGGCATCTGCACATATATATTGTTAAATCATTCACTTGACGAGGTGAATAGATATTTTAGTAATATCAGATGAGTAATTTCTTTATGTTGGACATACAATATGATTGTTCAACTAATCTGCTTTATCGCCAGCATTTCTTGTTATAGGCTGTGTGTGCATGTGTTTTCATATACACATAATATACCTAACAAGGTATTACAAATCATAAAAAGCTGGGGCATTAAAACACTTTACAGTAAACTGGTCACCAACGAGGGAGCTGTGTCATCTATACGCACAGACTAACTCCAGGCTGTTTTCTTTTGTGTGTGAGGGACTCAAAAGGCACAGGTCAAACACAACTGAAATCTATCACAATTTGGCAAAAATAAGGGTGACAATAGAGAACAATTGTGTTACAAACACAGCAGGGTGTCAGTGGGTTGTTCCAAAGTGTGCTAACTGTGGAATCTAACCCTCATATGTGTTTCTTTCCAACTCTAATCACATCTCTTGATTTTCAGGAACCCTGACAGCTTTTCTGCTATCACAAAAAACAGTCTGACTTGCATGAGACCGTTGCCCTCATTCACTGTGCTATATTTCCAAAAGAATGGCCTTTTGATGATCTCCTACAAGAAAAGTGGTGACTAGGGTAGTAGAGTGGAATAACAAAGAGGGAGACATCTGAGATCAGCCAATGTCGTTGAGTGGTAAGGCTACTGGCACTGTGGAAATGGTGATCAAAGAGCACCTCCAGCATTGCCCTATGAATGGTTAAGTTCTTATTCTTTTTTTTCTCTCTTCTCTCTCACTGAGGGTTAAGGGTTCTACCTGGTATTATTCCTGAGGTGCTCTCAGTCTACATTGATCTGCATCTCTGCTTTCTGTACTGTAAAATAATGAAAGGCCATCTAACACATTTTAATACTTTCATTTTTAACAACGAACATGAAGACTGGAGGGTGGAGACACATACATTCTTCACTGTATATCATACAGTGAATGCACTGTTAATTGTTTTGGTGTATGTGGTCTTTGAGGAGCCTGAGGGCTTTGTTTGTTACTATAACACCTACAGATTGTCATGCCTATTGTCATTTTCTACATTTGTATGCTTTTTAACACAATATAAATATTAATAAAAATGTATTGACTGTAAGAGGCATGATCAAAGACTGGAAAATCACTGTCTTGTTGAGCACAACTTGCAATGTATGTATCAATCTCCATTTCCTTGTGAGTGTGACCTCGGTGCCAGCTGTTCCCTGTGGCTGTGTATCTGTGCTACAGCACTATGGCCTTTTGTTTTGAGTAACCTAATTGTTGTGTGTCTCGGTGACCCTTCAGTACAAACAGGTGGAGCAGTACATGTCCTTCCACAAGCTGCCAGCAGATATGAGGCAGAGAATCCACGACTACTACGAGCATCGTTACCAGGGCAAGATGTTCGATGAGGACAGCATCCTGGGAGAGCTGAACGAGCCGCTGCGAGAGGTGGGATGAGAGTTCCTGTCTGGGGATCTTCTACACATGTGCTGCATTCAAAAGCTTGTGTACTGCTTAACATTCCCCTTATTCAGTTCAGTTTTTTTTCTTGTGGCCGAATCCCAACAAGAGTAAAACTGAGAGGAGCTCAGAAAAAAAAAATGTTGGCACAGCTGACGTTTTTGTGTTGTTACCCTAATACCTCTCTTGTTGTGACAGGCCAATGCCCTTTGTAAAGCGCCAGCTCTTTTCTGCTGTTCTTGCTAACTGCTTTCTCTTTGTGCTCACAAAGGAAATCGTCAACTTTAACTGTCGAAAGCTGGTGGCATCCATGCCTCTGTTTGCCAACGCGGACCCCAACTTTGTCACCTCCATGCTCACCAAGCTGAGGTTTGAGGTGTTCCAGCCTGGGGATTATATCATCAGGGAGGGCACCATCGGCAAAAAAATGTACTTCATACAGCACGGGGTTGTCGGTGTACTAACCAAAGACAATAAAGAGACCAAGCTGTCAGATGGCTGCTACTTTGGAGGTAAGACGAGCTGGCGCTGCACCAGAATCACAAACGCAAAGGTCACATACACACACATCTTTCTCTGTTTTAATATTAATAATGCTCTCCTTTGGTACCTTGAGAGGTTGGCTTTGGTTTAAATTTATATTTGTAAGGTATTTGGAAAATTCTGTCCTGGCTCTGTTATTAGCTCATCGTGAGGAAGAAGTGGTATGTTGTAGAGTGCTTGTCACCTCACTTAAAATTCTGCTTCATGGTTTATGCAGGACGTTTCCCTTAATTCACATCATGAGCTGTCTCTTTAATGTAGGGCAAACCCAAATTAAGAAGACTGTACTTGCTGGATTACAAAATGGGAAATATGCATTCAACGGTCAAAGGGGACAGAAATCTGTGAAATGACATACTGTATGAATGCGACTTGTGCAATAACCCAGTGCTGTTATGTACTTAACTCGTGTTATGCTCTTAATCAGGGTCAGATAATGCATCACCCTCTCATGGTCCCACAGAGCCTATGACACATGTAGGAGATAATGCTGCCATACTGCCCTCACCAAATACCAATTAATTTGCCCAGTGACAGCGTATAATTTAGTCTACGCTGCTAAGTAATGAGAAATGGTGGCAAAGCGTTTAACAGCACATGACCTGCCTGTGGAAGTTTAATTAGGCCCTGCCTGCTCAAGTCCATCTCCATGCCCTCTCTCCAGGGGGGTTCCAGAGAAATAATGAAAAGATGGCAGGCAATCTATCTTTACACATGCCAAAACTAATCAACATTTGAGACAACATGGACCTTGAGCGAGCTGGGGCCATGTTGTCTAAAATGTTGTCCAAATGGGTTCCTCCTCGGCAAGGCAGAAATCAGATTTAAAGAGAGCTCATATACCTGTTTCTAGCTCAAGCTTTGTGGTAATGGCACAGTTTGTGTGACAGCTTGGACATTTTGCCACTCAAATAAGCTGAACTGACTGTACTCTAGACCTCAAATGCATCAGATTGAATACATCTACATTTTCCTTTTTTTTTCCTTGAGTACACGAGTACTGTAACCACAGACTGTATACGAAGTGGACGTAGTCATCGTGACATCAACCATTGCTTTATGGACTGCTGTTTTGAAGCCTTGAGTGTGCCGATTTCGCCTTCACCATCTTGAATTACGGCCGTCGCCATGTTTTTCGCAACCAATGAACAGAGGTTACCATATTTAGATTGCAGAAGAGTGACGTAGAGACGCCGTACACGGCTTTAGTAGCGGCAGTGACCCGTCAATCACAGTAAGCCCACAAGGAAGCATACTCAGCTTTAAGGTCAATCATGCTGTGTTGAAGAACACTTAAAACTAGCGATTGAGACCATAAACTCAATAGAAGTTGGGTTATTTTCTCATAGATATTCCAAAAAATCGGACTCCTTCTTGCAACGGGAGGGGTCGCCCCATGCTGGTCAGTAGAGAGAATACAAGTTTTAAGACAATTTCGCATCTGCTTCACTCGGAAGAGCCGGAGGTTGAGTGTAACCCACAAAAGTGCAAATGCACTGGTTTTGGAACAGAAACTGGTTTGCTCGCTTTAATCTTAAGAACAGGATCAGTAATTATTTCCCCCTCTTGCGCATTATAGGCCCAAGGCCCCGACGTACAATGGGGAGGGCTAGTGAGGTAAGCCTAGAGCCAGTGGGAGTTTGTTATCAAACACGAGTTAGTCATTCATAAAATGAATTGGTGCGGATCAGCACAGGAGAATGTGGCACATGTGGATCTCAGTTTGTCTCAGTATCAGCAAGCGGGAAGTCAAAAGTAAGTATTTTTCATATTATGTGCACAACACAGGGGGCCTGCTTCACATGGATTGATAGGCTTTGACTCTCCATCCTGCATGTGAATGAGTGAGCATGTGAATGTGGAGCAACATCAGTCATCGAGGAGCTTTCTTTTTTTTTGTCAAAGACACTCAGCGTCAGCAGGCTCCAGTTTACAGTACGGCAAATGGCATGCCTATGTGCTCATCAACATCCCATCAAACTCATGTACCGTAACTCTTTCATTCCAATGACCTGAATTATTTACACAATTATATACTCAGCAGTCTGCTCCAGTTTGTTAGCTGTTGGATTAGCTCGAGCCAGAGAGCCTAAAGTCTGAAGTTGACACGACATGAACTGGATGGGAGCGTCGGCTGGGCACACAGCGATCCAATGGAGAGGGGAAATGTAATGTGACTGCAGTACTAACGCCAAGGGACACATGGATAGCTGCCAAGCCTGCTCTCTGGATGCTGCTCTGGGCTCAGAAAGAAAACATGCACCCTCCACCCTTGCCTCCACTTCCCTCTTTTTCTCCTTATAGTTCAGTATTGGAACACTTATCTCCGCTGCCCGCTCAGTGCCCAGACTGAGCAGGTTATTGTTTTGTTATAGTTCATCCTTTGTTGCCTGCAGAAATTGATGTGTTGCCAGTGCACAGTGCACACTATGCCTCTCTCTTAGTTGAAGCAGAGCTCAGTGACCCAGTGGCCCTACATGCCAGTCAGAGGTGCTTATCAAAAGCTGCCTTTGATTGCACCTCTAAGATGGCTCACTTTGCCTCTGTGAGAGTGGCTTGTAGCAGACATGTGAGCGGGGGTTATAGAGGAAAGTGAAACTGAGTCAGAGTGGGAGTAAGGAGAAAGGAGGGAAGTACATTGACTGCACAGTTTGCAATCTCCTGTTTCATCTTTTTGGCTTTACCAGATCTCTGACCGGTTTTCTGTGAATGGGGCTGTTTTCATTTGTAGTCCTGGATCAGAGAGCTAACACTCCTCCCATCTCCCTTGACTTTTACCTTTTTTTGTTGCTTTTTTTTGCCTCTCAGAGCTTAGACATGGCTGTGCTATAGAACTGCCAAATTGACCCTCTGACTGAGTGAGTCAGTGAGAGGGCCTGGCAGCAGCAAAGGCCCAGGTAATCCTCCCGGTCCTTAACCCAGTTAACACTCCTGCACCTCTTGTTCTGGAGCACCATCAGCTGAAGATCGAGGCACTGCAGCAGTTGAGTGAGTGACAGAATGGGGGATATGATGATATATAGAGTAGTCTTATATAATATGACAGGTTGGATAGGAAAAGACGATACAATACTGTGTTTTCATACAATGTGTGATGTGATACGACACAATATGTTGTGAGACATCATTTGGCTACATCATCCAAACACTAAGGGCTTAATGCGAAAGAGGGAATATGATATTACACAATATCATTATTCAAATACAAACAAGTATGCATGGTATTATTGGATAGACAGAGGTGTGGTACAATAAAATTAAATGCAGAGCAGTAGTTTTAAAAATTGCTCATTTACTGGTCAAGCAATACTCACAGTTGCAATTACTTTACGAGCTTCCACAGTGGATATGTGTTGCTATCATCAGCTGTGTTCTCTGATAATGTCAGTAATTACTATATTTCTGTTTAAAAGTACAGCGTGCCCATGTAACTTTAGGCTTATTAAACAAAAAATGTGTTGATTGGTGGATTTGCATCTATACACAAACATCTTCCGGTCTTTGAATGCTGTTTTATTGGGTCTTTTGTCCCTCACCAACATAACCAGCCTCAGGTCAGGGGGTGAAAAAGAGACAATGAGATGTGACGGGACTTCAGCATCCGCCACAGTGCAGAAAAACACCAGAAATGTACGAACTGTCTGCGTGCTGGCCAAACCTAAGGTGTTGCGCAGCTATGCTAATGTTGTGAGGGAGTGAGCATGGCATGTCATGGAGAATCAGGCGGCCCACTGCGGATGTTTCAAAGGTTAGAGAGCGTCTGCTCTGGGGGCTGGGGGCAGTGTTGGGGAGGGAGATGGAAGCTGACAGTAGGACTCAGAGTCCAGGTGTGATTTGCCAGACCAGGCTGCGGGACACAGATACTTTATCACAGACCAGTCCTGCTCACACTCGTTAATATACAGCCATGCACACTTATAAGCAGAGAGGACGGCAGGTACCCATGCACACATATATCACATGCAGATACAGTATATGTAGACTGAGACTTATTTGAAAGCACATTCAAAGGCCACAATTTACATTCACTCAGATTGGCGCACAATAGTTTGCATGTGGTCTGTATCTGCTTCAGCTCACATAGATTTAAATGTAGATCTAGAAACACACATGTTAAAAATACATTATGAGACAAACATACTCGCTAATTTGTTTTACTCAGACGATCTCTCTGATTTTGGTTTGAGTGAGATTTGTGTTATGAAGTTGCATTTTTCAGTGATGTCTTTATCCCAATTTACGGTTTATACCTACATTTTACCTTGCCAAGTTTCTTCCATTTACCATGTGTGTTCATTGTCTAAATGAACTGTTTGATAAGTTCAACCCTTTACTCACTGATGCTTTGTATTTTTTAAAGACTTATCTCTGAGGTATTAATGATTTTTAGAGATTAAAATGTAGGTGTTAGTATCTCAGTGCTTCACCAGATTTACCTCCATACAGAGCTGTTTTTATTGACTGTATTTTGCTCAGCTTTCTGCTCCCAGCGCAGTTGTAGCCAGGAGAAAGCCAATAAGAACTCATAGAGAGCATATTTGTTTGCCCTCTATTTATCTGTACAACATGCAGACATGGCTTTACGCTGTGAGCATACGGTACTCATAAGGTAAAGAAAGTAATGCAGACAAGTGTGTGCCCTGTTCTTCTTTTCTTGGGTTCTCCCCCCCCCCCCCCTCCACTTTGAGAGCTGGTACAGGGACTCAGGGGAAGCATCTTTCCAGTAAGAGCCTAGGACACGTGGACTGCAACATCCCACAAAAGACGAGTCAAATGTGTTCTCACTAAGGTCACAGCACATGACGTCGTAGTCCTCCTTTCCCTGAGCAGCATCCAATTTTAATTGGTGTCATTCAATTTTGATGAATGCATTGTCACTTAAGCGTGAAAATGAAACGAATCATAGCTATGGAAAAGTAGCATCTTCTAGTGCATAAATGCATTTTTTCTCCTGGAAACTAAGGCATTTTTGTGTCTGTAACTCACACACTTGCCAAACACAGTTTTGGGAACAATAACAGCTGGGCCAGATAAACTCACAGCAGAACAAAACAGGGGACAGGACAGACAGGCGGATTTATCAAGTAGACCTTTAAGATTATTCTCAGAGCTGCATCTTTGCTTTCACTACTTTTACTCATTATTTTTTCAAAATGCTGTTTTTATAATTAACTAAATATTGAGTACAATAACATTTTATTCAGAGACGATCATTTATCTTGTGTGATGACGATATTATAGCTTTGCTAATTTGAGCTGACAAAGCCCACAATTTTGGGCTGATTATGAATCATCTCATTGTTTTTAAGGACCACACAGAAATGGATAATTGTAGAGGCGGCAGTCAGTCTGAGGAGAAAACAGGCAGAGCTACATCAACTAAGCCTGTCCTATGATTTCATGCAGGATTTGGGCAGCATTGCGATGAGTCACAAGAGATGTGAGTAAGCAGTGGGAATAGAGCATTCATAAATATACGAACCATCAGCGAAAGCCGGTTTGAGCTCGACCGTGAAGTGCATTTGGCTGAATTGAGGGTCGGTGATAAACCACTATCATGAAAAATGACATGAAATAAAAATGTGATTGGGATTACTTTTTTTTTATTATTAAATTCAATTTAAAAACAAATTCCATAATGACAAGCTTAGTTTTTAATAACTCCTTAAATTATTTGACAATTCATCGGTTCATATGTATTCTCCACTATTTATGCATGATCACAAATTATTGTTTATATATTTAGCATTTCACATTTTGTGACATGTACACATTACTATTACATTAGTAGAAACAATATGATAGGTTTCATACAAAAACGGTAAATGTATTTTTGCGGAGAAATTTAAAAACTCAGAGAATTCAAAATCAGAAATGAATTTTTCAGATTAATAGTAGATGATGTATTTGTAAAAAAAAATTTGGTTGTTAGATTTTTAGTTATTTTAGTTTTTCTATTCTTTTTTTTTTTTTATTGCATTTTGTGTGAAACCATATATTTTATACTTTGACAGTACATTTTTTCTCTTAGCTCCTAATTTTAAAAGTCTTGATATTCAGGAGAGTATTGAGCTTCAGAGCAGCCGCATGCATTTAGCCGCTCAGCACTCAGCTTCACTTGTTTTCTGCAAAGACAGTTAGATGAGGCCAGAGGGCCCACTCCAGCTCACTACCTCATCTTTTCTGTGTGGGCTTCATCCAGAAGGCCACGGGACAAGAGGATTTAATACAGAGCTGCGATGCTCCTCTCCAGAGAGGATTACTGGCGCAGTGCTGTGGGAAATGGAACCCCAGCACAGCTACAGCCAGGGCTGTCCCGCTAACACACACTTGCAGTACATACACACACACACATGTAAACACATAGTGTATACACACACGCACAAACAGGAGAGCGTGGTATTTTTACTCTCTCACATTCACACAGCTCTCTTTCTAACTTGGCCATTGTCCATTCACCCATGCTCTCTCTGTCTCACACATACTGTCCATGCATAAACAGTAATGCACTGTACACGAGGTTGTTTTTATGCCACTTACATAGTACATATTCCTCATTCTCTGCCCTGTCAAATCATGCATTCTCCCTTTATCCACTGACCTGTCTTGTTTTTTTAAAGCATCATTAAAAATCATCATAACCACTCAGTGACCAGAAAAAATGCAGAGTCCGGTAAAATCGAATGTAATCGATTACAATCGCTGGGTCGTGAATGCTTCATAATGTCAATTGTATAGTGTTGACATTGTTTTGTGGTAACTCTGCTCCAAAGCAATTTTAGATTCCATGTTTATTGGTGGTGATTATTGACTTTCATCATATTAAGAGATGTTTTTGCAGTCACAAAGTGCAGGTCTATATGTCACAAAGGGAATATGTGTGTTGTAGGGCTGTTGTTTAAGATTGCTTTCTATGGTATAGTTGTTTTTATTTTCTGTCCATAGAGAATATTTTCTAAGATTTCTCTCAGCTGTATCATGAGGTCCAACTTTTCTGTTTATTTCATGTTACTTGTCTTTTCACTTTCTTCTACCTGTACACATCAAATTACACAGATTTTGAAAAAATTAAGATTATTCAGTAATGCTAGGAAGGCAGAGGGAGGATTAAATATCTGGTGCTTACAAGCATCTGTCATCGACAACAGCTAGCATGCTGTGGCTAATTAACTGAAAGGCTTTTCCTCTCAGTTAATTATCTCCTTATGCAGCTGCCTGATGCAGCTATCATTTACAGAAAGTTTTCCACCTGCAGTTCCAAATGTGAGTGGTGTGCATTGTCAAATTGCAATTGGCTACTTTGATCAAATCTTGCATAAACAGCAGAAGGCCACAACAAACCACTCAAATGTCTACTCTCTTGTTGACGCCAAACTAGTTATATCTGTGTAGTGTTGTTATGTCCTGGTGTTTCACACAGCTTCCTATTTTATGCAGTAAAAATCAGCAGAACTCTGACTTCCTTAGGAAACAATAGATGTCAACCCATGGAACATAAAGGTGGTAGAACAAAAAAGTTTCATGTACCATCTCATCTTTTAAGTTGTGAAGTTAATAATAATATTTAACCAAGACTGTGATGCTTCCATAACATTTGCCTTCAGCATGCATACACTGTCCAGATTCAGGTTTTGTTAATATATTGATATGAGAACTGCTTTATTAAAGGAGATGAGAGAGGAGCTGTCATGATTTGCCATGGTTGTTACAATCCTCTAACACACCCAGACTCATTGACACACCCACATACAGCTCAATATCATCATACCCACATATGAAACGTGCACGGAAAAAAAAACAGGGTTACTTTTTGTGTGTGTGTGGCTGCACGTCAGGGAAATGTTAATACAAAACCCACAAACATCAACGATCTATAGATGTGCAATACCCAAAAAGGGACTGGAACACTGGAGAAAAATACAGTTATGGCGCAGAGTCAAACTATGCATGACATTTCAGGAGATAACTTGGACGAAGAATTATTAAAAAAATGGATTTGATGTAGGCTACAGGGGGGAAGGTGGGAAAGTGCATTCTGTGAGAGAATTGAGAGCTTTTGTGTGAAGATGAGCTGAAAATGGGTTTCTGAGAAAGAGGGAGTGTGATAGCAAACACAGGAAGGGAGGGCAGAAGATGAGATGAAAGCTAAAGAGAAAATACATTAGGGAATGTATACAAACACATGGCACACATACATAAAAGTCACCTAACCCCTAAAAATATAAATACACAGATACATTATATAAAATGTTATATATACATACATATATATATATATAGGAACATATATATATATATAAGTATATCCATTTACACGTTGTATGTAAAGTATATATACAATATATCTAACCTTTATATTTCACCATGACCTACTCTCCCATACTGCTTTGCTCTCATGAATAAAACACGGACATCATGCTTTCACACAGATATAGCACTTTCACAAACATTTCTGTATGTGCAAACACTGACGCAGAAACACATCCCACTTGACTAGTGCATGCATGCATGCACATGCTTCATCTGCATACAGTACAGACACACTTGCACCCACACACACTGTGTATTTGCCAGGGCTCTACAGCCGTGCAGCTTGTTTAATGGAGCATTATTTTCCTGGGCATGGCAGATGAGGGCTGGCAGACCCCTGAGCTCTGAATATGGCATTACTGTGAGTTCCAGACTGATCAATGACAGAAAAGTTGTAGGTTTTAATGTTAAAAGATAAAATAAAACCAGTCTTGGGTTCACGTTTTGCTTAGATAATGTCACTTAGCATACAGTAACAGCTGGGGAAAAATAAAAATATATAACTGGTATAACTGTTTTAAATTTCAAGTCAAAGACATATGAGCCCCTGGGTTTAACTCTACATTACCATCTCTTGTCTGCTATGTTCTGTTGCAGAGATTTGTTTGCTGACGCTGGGCAGAAGGACAGCCAGTGTCCGAGCGGACACATACTGTCGCCTGTACTCTCTGTCTGTGGACAACTTCAATGAGGTGCTGGAGGAGTATCCTATGATGAGAAGGGCATTTGAGACTGTTGCCCTGGACAGGCTGGACCGTATTGGTAAGAAAATATAATTTAAACAATTTCAGAGGGAAATCCTGAAGATTTTTCATTACTGTAAACAAGATGCAATCGACTGCATTTTGCAAACTTTCATCAAGACATGAATGCCTCAGTTGGTGTCAGTCCTTAGCTGTAATGGAAACCTTACCAACACTTAATTTGCATTTTAGATATTTGCAAATAAAGCTTATGATTAATCTGGTTTTACCCAGTAAGCGTATCAATATCATTATACTATGTTAGGAGAGGATGCATCTCTGTTCACTTTTTCCTTTTATTTACTCATGAGTGTTTATGTTCAGCATGGCCCATCATGCTGTAAGAAAAGAAAATCCACACTGATACTCAATGACAGAAATTACTTCCAAAGTCATCTGCATATAAACATGCAGATAGAGCTCTGGTATTGAAATGCGTGACTTCTCTTACACATACAATTGGTATTCTTTCCATATCCATCGCTGTTCCCAGGCTCAGCCCTGAGTAGATGAAAAATTCACAATGAAAGGCACGCCTGTATCATCACTCAGCCATTGCAGCATGCTCTGTTTTATCCTCAGCTATGTTTGGAATGGAAGATAGAGGAACTGCTTTAGGGGTTCTCTTTGTAGAAAATGGCTGCTTTGAAAAGATGTGGTGGGCTGATAGTGATGTTTCTGTCTCCTATGTATGTCCTTTCTCCTGGGCATGATGCTCATGTACACCCTTCTTCACGTATTACGTAACTTACACAGCGATGATCCACAAATTAATTACTGTCTTGATGGGCTCACAATCTGATTGGAAGTGTGCAGGCGATAAAGGGTCAGATGATGACAGGGCCGAGCTGGATGTAGATATAATACCTCAATGCAGCATCTCTTCTAATCTGCGATCAGCCATACCAGAAAATGGAGAGATTGATCTGGGCCTAATTGCATTTACAATAGCTTCGGATTTCACAGCCTTTTGTTCACACCAAATTGAAAATGGCAGTCATATGAATTAACCCTGTCATCGCTAGTGCGGCCATTCAACAATGACTAATGGACTCTGCGGTCAGAGTTGCACACGTTTCTCTGTAAGGTTGGCTCAGCAGTTGGTGTGCCTGTCATAGTGATGCAACTTCAACTTGTCTCTTTGACCTTGTGCTCAGCTCACAGGGACTTCAGAGTACTTGTGGTCGTAAGGCGGAAAGTGAAGGGAAGCAACTAGGAGCAAAAATATTATGAAAAAGTCCATTCTTATATTTAATTTAAAATTTTGTTAATATGCTTTGTGTGTGTCATCAGGTGGCCTATCCCATAGAAGTTATATCATTTGAGAAAAATACGATTTCAAGTTTATCTTTGATTTTAAGATACTTCTTTTTGATATTAACAACCCATAACAGGAAAGAAAACATGACACCAGAGAGATGGCTTGACCTATTATCTCAGTGCAGCTCACATTCTATCACAGGCTGAACCGGCATCTTATGGTACAATGTTTGCTTTATGTTTTGTCCCTGTTACCTCGGAATCACTGTGCCAGCTTCTTTTATTGGAAAGGATTGTTAGAAAATAGATGTCAAACTGGTTCTAACATTCTCCTGTTATTTATTTTTTTCTCTCAACTGTCCATCTTTATGTGTCTGATTTTCTGTTTGCGTGTGCTTTTTCAGGCAAGAAAAACTCCATCCTGCAGCACAAGGTACAACACGACCTCAGCTCTGGTGTACTCAACTACCACGAGAGTGAGATCATTCAGCAGATTGTGCAGCATGACAGGGATATGGCCCACTGTGCCCACCTCTTGCAGAACGCCCCACCCCAGACGCCTCCTTCACCTACCCCTGTCATCTGGGCCCCCCTCATCCAGGCCCCTCTCCAGGCAGCAGCTGCCACCACCTCAGTAGCTATTGCCCTGACACACCATCCCCACTTTCCACAAACTCTTTTCAGGCCTCCGGTTTCTGTTCTTGGGTCCCTAAAGGACCCTCCCAGCCGGCTCAAGAAGTTTCACACATTTGTTTCTCAATCCACAGCACCTGGCTCTGCTGGGGACTCCCCCTCTAGCACACCCTCTAAACTGCGCGCTGAGATGGACATGCCATTGCTGGCTTCTTTTCGGGCCCTGCACATGACGTCAGGTACAGGGCCAACTGGCACTAGCCAACAGGCCTCAGGTAGCGGAGGCCAGAGTGGACCCAGTGGGACTGGCTCTGAGTCCAGTGGAAGAGGGGCCTCTGCCTTCCCTTTTGGACCATACTCTTCATCTGGTTCACCCTCATCTAGTATGGCCCAACTACACCCACAACCACAGCATCAACAGCTGTTTCGCTCCAGCACCCCACCTCTCTCAAACCTCTTCAACCAAGGATCTACAGTTGGAAGCACAGGGTCAGGAATAAGTGGAGGGGCAGTTGGAGCCTGTGGTGGTGCTACAGGGTGGTCTTCAGGTGGAGCAGTCAGTGAGTCTGTGGAAGGAGCCATGGGAGGAGACACTGCTTGGGCTGGAGAGGACTTTATAACTGGAACAGGGCTACTGCCTGGGGCGCACTTTGGGTTGGGAGGAGCTACTGGTGGATCAGTCGAGATCTCAGGGGATTCAATGAGAGGGATATCTGAAGGATCAGTGGGTGCTGCTTGTGGCAGGTTAACAGGTGGGGCATCAGGGGGATCAATGGGGGGCATTACCTGCGGGTCAATAGGAGATGCAGCCAGGAGATCAATGGGAGGGACTTCTAGGGGATCAATGGGAAGAGCTTCTGGGGGATCAGTGGGAGGGGCTTCTGGAGAGTCACTGGTGGTAATGACCACTGGAGGATTGTTGGGAAATGCTTCTGGTGGATCAATAGGAGTGATTCCTGGGGGATTGACAGGAGGGGCTTCTGGGGGACCAGTTGGAGGGGGGTCCGGTGATTCTATGGTAGGAAATCCTGGAGGATTCTTGGGAAGGGTTTCTGATGGATCCACAACCAGCCATATAGGAGGTATAGGAGGTGTGAGTGGGCCAGTGGGAGCAGTGATTGGAGGACATATTGGCAGAGCATCAGGCGGAGCAGTTGGGAGCCATTTAGGGGGTTCTACAGCTTGTCCTGTAGGAGGGACTTCTGCTGGAATTAGAGTTGGACTTCTTGGTTCCTCTCAGAGTCCTATATCTACTGGCTCATCCAGCCCTTTGCCTGGTCAGCTTCTACACAGCCAGCCGCCTCCCAAGCCGCCTCAGGTAGCTCCTTTGCAGCAGTTTGCTGGGGGAGGCAGGACTACCAGTGGCTTAAACCTCTTCCATTCCCCTCCACATGGCTCCCCATCCTCTAGCAGAAGACAGCACAGCCAGCAGCCTGCTGAGGGCTCCCCATCCTCTCTCAGCCATTTTAGCCTGGCAGGCCTCCAGTCTGGCTTTCTGCCTCACCAGATGTCCCTGGAGAGGTCTGCCCTGGCCTCCCTGGCTCAGTATGGTTCAGCAAACGCCTCCCCCTGCCTTACCCCAGTGGCGCCCAGCCCTACTATTCAAAGCCCAGTGGCGGGCAGGACTTTCCACTACAGCGACCCCTCAAGTGCCACAGGATCCCACAGTTATCCGCTCATGCCTCAGTCTTCGCTCCCTTCACAGCCTCCTAGCCAGCCACACACAACAGAGAGAGATTCTCCACTGGGCCACTTTTCTGAGAACCTTAAGCTTTTATCCAGCTCGCACCAATCTCTGCCCCAGGAGGTGGCCCAGGCCTTAGGCCACCATATTGCTTGCTCTTCTGTGGAAACTGGATATTACCCCTCACCCTTTTCCTCGCCCACTCTTGCGCCCAAACCCTGTAGCTCAGTGCCAGAGCACATGACTCCTCCAATCCACATATCTCCGGGGCACCCTCACCAGACTCAGCCCCCTGGGGCCTCCCCGGCCTTGCCTCTACGGAGGGCATCTGCTGCCTACTCATCAGATCTAGAACCTCAAACTGTCCGCTCTAAACTCCCTTCAAATTTGTGAGGATTGATCACACCCTCCTGTGCTCCTCGAAACTGAAACACACACAAACTATCTCCATGTGTGAGATGCTTTTTTTTCTGTCTTCAGACTTCACTGTGTTCCACCTCATTTTTCCAAGATCTTAAAAATGACTGTGATTTAAATGACACTTTACCGGGTAACTCGGAGCTCTAGAATACTCTATTTGTTTTATGCTTTGACCTCCTTTTTAATTCATACATATTGTACATAGATAGAGATATATTTAAATGATAAGTTAATCAATGGACTAGGAGGGTGTGAAATCTAAAGGACAGTCATTTTCTTGATTTATATAACTATGCCAAATTCATCTGGTGAAGTTTTGGAAGACAATTAATTTGATTACACAACAATACTCTTTTTCTGCAGGAACCTATGCACTAATACCTGCATGTATAAATGCTTTTTGTGTGTTTCAAAAAATTATCTAAATTTTTAGCGAAAACAAAATGCTTCAAGACGGGCTCAATCTTGTACTATCTCATACAGGATCACATATTGTTGATCCTTAAATGTATCTATTAGATTGTACTTCTTTATCCTCTGTATAAACTTTTAAAAACGTAATAGGAGATGGAGAAGAGATTTTAGGAAACCAAAAATACTTTTCCTGTGGGGTTCATTCACCTCCTCTTCGCCCGTCAATTCTTATTTTATACCACTTTATCGTAATAATGTTTTTTGAAGCAGGAGGCAAGGGGTTCAAGGAGCAACCCTCCATCTCAATATTGAGGTATAACAGATGTGAGTGGCTGGCTTTCTGCAGAGTCCTCAACCATGTCCTAACAAGCTAACTTTGTCTTCCAAGCTCATGCCGCTAATGTGTGTAGAAAGCATGTGTTGTTTTTCTTCCTGACTGTGTGCAACTGATAATGTGTGAGTAAGTGCGGATAAGTGTGTGATTCAGTGGAACAGCCGGATGCAAGTAAAGACTTTACCCTGGACTGGTCAAAAGGATGTTGGCCTTTTTCAATCAAACCCTAGGACTTCCATTAATCACAGCTTGTGTGTTACATTGTGAACCATTTGTTCAAAAATAGTGAAATATACTGTGTATTGACCCCAAAACTAGACTTACAGTCATTGAGCAAATGCAGTACATACAAGCTGAAATGTCCGAAAATTGAAATATTCCACTTGATATTTGTTTTCTGCATTACGTCTACTAAAACTGCTATATGATCAATATAGAAATGTTTCCTCATTGAGGGCCAGTGCTGAGTTTGCGATGTTGAATGTATGTCCATTTGGTGTTGCTAAAAGTAGGTACTGTAGCAATGGATGCACTGTGGCCCCGGGGCTCAAGAGACTGTTACGTAACTATATTGGTCAAGTGTCCTTGAGCAAGACACAGAATCGACTCAATTGGTGTGAAGCAATCTGAATATACGACTCAGTAAGTTGCCTAAAACAGCCCACACTTTACTGCATGTTCTCCTTTAAGTATTGCCATACTCCTGCCCTGCTTTTGTAATTGCTGAAAAGAGAAATTGCTGAAATGAAGGTGCAGGAAAGACCTTGACAACCATTGTTGACAGATTTTGACTTTAGTTTTGATTACATTGCTGTAGACATGTCTGAGTAATATACAAGACATACATGGAGCATATCTAGATTTCACATTAAAAATCAAAGATGGGAAAAGTTCCGTCATACATTATATGTGTATTCATTCAGAATCTTGTGGAACAGTCAGAGACCCTCAAAGTGGTCAAGAAAATTGAATACACAGTGGAGGAAGGTATCACTAAATTCCCAAAGGAGAGGAGCAGTGATATGCTTCTACATGTTTGTCTGTAGCTCATCACCAACACAGACCCAGGTTCCAATCCGACAGCTGAGTCCCTAACTCAGTCACAGCACTCAGCCACAGCAGTCTAATTTAACAAGACATATCTGTAATCCCTTGACCCTCGCAGGCTATCATGGATTCACACACAGAGGTGCACAGTGACCACGCTCTTCCCTCATTAAAGTTCCCATAAGTCCCTATAATAAGGTATAGTGATACACATGACATGACACGCAGCTGCACGTATGCTCATTTACTGACATGCACACAACAAGAGTACACATTTACTTCTCCTTGCAAAAATAATAAATATTCAACAATACTTTTTTGTGCAGCATTTTGTGAAAATACTGAATTTGCAGTAAATTAATCGATGACCAATTGATTTTCCACTTTCTTATTGCAGTCAGATTACCCAGGCCAGTTTATATAGCCAGCACTTTTATGATTAATGATTTAATGTATTATTTTTGTTGAAGACATTAATACATGCATTGTAACCCTTGGTAGTCTTGGTATTAATACATCACTATATTCACCATTTGCCTTGCAAGAAATTGGGCAACACTATTATAAAACAAGTCTTCTATCATCAACCTAAAAGAAAGGTCTATCATGGAACACTGTGGAAAAACAGTTTTAAGCAACACTGTTGAGGTGTTGCATTTTAGGGTGCACTGTTTGATGATGCATTTTCTTATTTTCGTTTGGATAACTGGCCACATGAAGACATTATTATGTAATGTCAAGATTATTCCAGTAAGCAAAATGATAACATTGATTAAGCAATCGTCTTTGTTGTCATTCTATCAGAATTGCCTAATTTTGCAAGTACCCGCATAACCAACAGCTGAATGCAGTATCCCCAGGAATGATCTGTGTTGCTCGTCATGGGAAATGTAGTCTATCAAGAACTGACATATGATTTAATTAGGCAGAATGAGGGGAAGTAGACACAGCAAGAACTCTATGATTAGCTTATCATTATAGAATTACTCTTGATTTAGATTACATAAGTGAAATCAATAATGGATCATAGCTTTCATCTGGAGACGCATGACCTTTTCATGGTCATCTTCACAGATGGAGTAACCGTTACTAATAGCTTGAGCAGTGTTTTGTTCACCTCTCCCACATTAAACACCTCATCTACATCTTTAGTAAACAGCTAGCTGATCTATCTGAAACATTTAGTTGGCCTTGAGCCTCATGGTAGGAACCACCCAGAGTGGCTAAAGGGTGGGATGGACACTGCTCTACGACAGAAATGACAAAGTAAACACATCGAACAGGTTCACCTCTGGAATACTAATTGTCTTTACAGAGTGTAGGCGTTAAAGCCTTGGTCTTCTTGTATCTGCTAGCCTTGCACATAATCAAACAGACTGCTGTGCCTCGCACATCAGGTAAAGTCCCCTCTTTTCCTCAGAATATGAACTTATTAAGACGTTGAGGCGGAGAACAGTTTGAAGTCGATCTGTGAGACAAAGGTGTAGATGTGAGGAGACATTGATGCACTGAGGGAATGATGTAGTCACACTTTTAGCCATGGGGAGGACAGGTAGACGGGTACCCTATGGGGTGGCCTCATGCTGACAGGGTATCTGTTTCTCGTGGGGACTTGTGGCATATAGCTCATGGATATCAATGTACAATTAATTGGACGGATATGGAGCATTGCTATCTAGCTAGCAGCTATAGTGTTTGGGTGTGAGTGTTTGTGTGTGTTTCCCACACTGCCTAGCAGGGTCGATGGCTGGGGCTGGACGCTGTCGGAGGAGTGTGGGAAAAGGGAGGCACAGGTCGTAGTTTACTGAGAGATAGACATTGAACAGGGATTGATTAGTTGGCCTGAACGTAGTCTGGTCCATTACCACAGATAAGTGGTTTAGGGGAGGTTTGGCACAGTGGATAAGCTGAATCTGTCACTGTCAGTTAGAGAGCTGACACAATCTGCATGATGTCCTGTCTGTTTCATTTGGGCCTACATCATTCCAACATCTGTCTTTTTACTTTTTATGCAAGAAAACTGCCAACTTGGAATTGAGAAAAGCATTTTTTCATTGATGGCATTGCAGCTTTGAAATGATGTAATGTAAATGAAAAGAGGTTTATAATAATTGTCTCAACTCACAGAAGACTATCCTTCATTCTTAATAAAGACATGAAAATAACCACACTGGGAGTAACAAGATTTCCACCTGACATCAATGTTTATTGTTAAAGGGGATTTGATATTTCCATTCTCCCAGACTTTGAAACTTTGTGTCTTCTGAGAGAAGCAAAATAAGAAAAACATCTGTGGCTCACCTGCTCATGCGGGGAACTATTTCCATGTCTCCCATGTCACCCATTTAAACAAGGCAAGAAAACGGCTGCATGAGATTAACAGAGGAAATAGCAATGAAGGGTTGAAGGATCACTATAGCTGCCAGCGTTTTTATTTTTATTTCAACTGAATCTAATCTAGGTCAGGGCTACCTAGTCTTGAGAATAAGGGGTACAAAAGGAAAATGATTATAAATTCATAATGTCTGGCAGAAGTTATGCATCTTCTCCTCTGCCTGAGGCCAGGCCTGGCTCTGGTCCTGCTGTTGGCCCTAGCGAGATGTGTTGTGAAGCAGCCAGCAGGTTTGTAAGTTGCTTCAGCGTAACCCGTCATTGCAGAGCTTTGGTGGGGCTCCACATGGCATCTCTCTATAATTTCCAAATTCATGGTTGTTTCTGTAAAGCAGCACTCTCAGATTCTGTTTGGTGCACTTCCAATTTTGCTGCCTAATGTTAGCCTCCCTCTCTCTTTGTGCTGCCCTACTCGCCCATGAATATGGGTTGGTGAAGCAGCGATGCACACCAATGAAATCATTTGCTGTGATTGAGGATTAGATGCAGCAGCAGCGGAATCGAACCTGCAATTTCTCTGGGGAGAAAAAGCCACGGCATTATTTCCGAGGCCCTCGTTATTCATTCATGACCACAAATCCCTCCTACCCTTCCACAATCGCACAATTTATTTCGTACACACGCACCAGAATCAGGTGTTCCGTATGACAATGTACATCAGAGTGATTGAATATGATATGAAGATTCCTATATGTGGTGAAAAGTTGTGTTTATCGTAGCGTCTAATACAACTGACCTCTTTTGCTGCCACTCCAGTGAAATGGAATAACACGACAATAATATTATTTTGACCACAAAGTGAGCTGTTGGGCAGTGTAACCTGGATATGACCTAGTTTAGGAAAAGCATGCAATAGTGGGGAGCAAACAAATTCACACTAAGACTGTATCGCCTTCGGATCCTTCACGGTAACGGCAATGTATAGCTAACAGGCAGGAGTCTCTCTTTGTAGCTGTCAATATAAAGTCAGTGATTCATCCTACTTTTCTGCTTGTTCATATATTCAATTTTGACATGGTTCCGTAAACTAAGAAATATATTTAGATGTTTAGATTTGGTTCTGAAAATACATGGTTTCATATGTTTATCTACTGTTTGTAGCTGATCAGAAAGTCCTGTGTGGAAGCCAAAGGGGATGCTGCTCTTGACTTGATTAGTCTGGAGGAAAACAGAAAGGGCATGTTCATACTAGATGAGATAAGGGTTTACTTTAACACTCCTGCTTTTCATTTGCGCAAGTATGTACTATAGTTCCACTTCATCTGATGTTGGGAACCTAATGTCGACAAGGTACTTATACAGATTTCTATATTTCCATAGAACCTATTTATATTTCTGTATTTATTTTAGGCTCTCTTAATAAGTGGTGTCATCATCTCCATTATGATAAGCAATGTTCACCAAATTGTGTGTATGTATAAAGTTCATAACATATCCATTATTTTTAAGGAAACATTTAAGGAGTGGGACATTATCGTTTCATCATGCTACAGAACAAGACTTTCTACCTGAAGGCTCAACCTTTTTGGTTTGCGAGGCAGCGACTGGTTCATCACTTCTTACAAGGACACATGACCTTTTGGGGAGGACAGTATTTTGACCGCTTTGCTATTGATCAATGGATATCTATTTTTTCTGCAATGGTGACTATGGGGAAAAAAAGCAATAAGGGAACTGTACAGGTATGGTGTGACTGGATGTGTACCTGCAGGACATTGCACTGACCCATGCGACAACCACACACACACAGAAGTCGTGACTCGTGGTTTGTGTGGCGGTCAAAGGAGTGAGGCAGAACCTGTATTGTCGATAAGCACACATACTGGATGAAATAAAACGGTAAAGCATAAATATAAGGAACTTCTACCTGAGTCTTTTTTTTTCTCTGTTAAAAGATGCAGCATGCTATCAATTGCACATCACTAAGACACTTAGCACGATGCAATATATGCACCTCTTTAGGGTATTCTGAGGCAATTGTTATTGTACATTTTTGCCTATACATGTACAGGAAATGACAAATTTATGAGGTTAATTGTTTTATCCCTCCATCTTGTGCGATGTGTCTATAAGCAAACACACATTAACTCACAGATGCACGCAAAAAGCGGTCAAGAGGCAGGTGAAACTCCTCAGAATACTGGAAATGTCGGCAGAATGTAAAACGAGGGACAGTCTGCGTCGGCCCCTGTGAGCACTCAGCCATCTGCTTCATTAGAATTCCCCCTTGAGGTAACCTTCCCTTCTCCAAGAGCAACTCATTGAAAGTAAAGGGCTTTGTTTTACATTGTCTATTGTAATTACACATTATTCTCCTTCTCTGATGACTGCTTGCTGAGCGGAGAGGAGCTGGCTTACTGTCGCCCAACCGGCATCTGATGGCGACAAGAGAGCACACAGGACCGTGGTGTAATCGCTGTATGGCCGCTGCTGCCACGTGAGCGTCCTGTATGCTGCCTCGGTGTGGTTTTGTACAGCGGGCCAAATCAGCGAGGTCATGGTGACATCCTCGCGTTTGAGGTGGCTGTCTCTCTGCTGCCATAGCGGGACGACCAGCACTAATGCCTTCCTCTGCAGCATCTGGGATAATCTGCTCTAGTTCTTCTTGGGTCAAACTCAACAGTAATTAATCCTACCATTACCCTGCAGGCCTCCGGGTTAAAGCACTGTATATGCGTGTGTCTCAAGTGTTTTCCTTTTACAGATAACCCCTTTCAACTTCACTCTGGTACTGGAGGAGGGAGAAAGCCTTGATTTTTTTCATTTTCCATGATGTTTTAACAGTGGCATTTGAGAGGGACATAGGTATTTGGGTGGATTTCAGGGAAACTTGAGTGTCCTGAAAGTCTTAAGATCTGTACAGAGCAGTAACGGACCAAATGTAGAGTTGTTACTTAGATTCAGTAAATTAAAAATGCCATTACCTTGTTATCACACCCTCTTTTTTTCCCCTATCTATCTTATATATTTGTAAGTTTGTTTTTAAGGGAAATGCTTTTTCTTTTCCCACTTCTTCTCACGCCTGTAGGATGCAGACCTGGCTGGCACTATATTATTTTGGCAGCCCAGGGCCCAGAGCACTCAGAAACAAGCACACAGTAACTATGGCACATTCGTATTAGTGCATTTTTTCCTCTAAAACCCTGCCTTCAAAGCCTTTTGACATCTGCCAGTTTGTTCACAAACATTGTCCAAATGCCAACTTTGCAATGCTCCAGCTTTTGATGCACATGGCTGAAAGTTGTTTTTGTCTGTGTCGATGTGTGTATGTGTGTTTTCATGCATGTGGGTGACTCTGTACTTGTGCATGCCTCCTGGGATTGAGTTCATGAAAGCATACGCATGGATAACATCAGAAAAATGGCCACAGGTTGCTAACCTGATGTCCCCACTCTGCCTCTTGCTCTGCCAACCCCCCTGCCCAAAAAGCCCAAGCCCTTTGCTCTCTCCTTCCGTCCCTTGCTGAAATGTCATGATGGTCAGGAATGGGCCATATATGCCCTACTTAGAGGAAGAGCAAAACAGCTGAACTATGTGTGGGTTAGTATTTGGAAAAATAAGGCTTCAAGCTAATACTTCCTATCATCAGTAGAAGACGTGAAATTTGATTAGCTCAGTGGTGAATGCAAACATGTCTAATTTGATTTCCTTGTCCATGAGTTATAAAGACACAGAGGACACTATATGTCAGTGGTGGAAAAATACTGTTCTAGAGTGTAAATTCAAAGTACAAAATAAAACTAACCCACATATACTGTAGTATCAAAAACAAGAATAGGTTTGTCTAGCAGAAGAGCATTTTTTTTTCCTCTCCCGTCATTCACCTTATGACACCAAGGGGGCGGTCCCGAGCTCCTTCTGCCCATGCGCAGGCTAGTGCCTTGCATGGTAGCTTGCTTCTATTGGTGTTTGAATGGGTGAATAGGTGTCAAATTGGAAAGAATTGTTGATGAAATTTGCTAAGTGGGCAACTGTACTTCTGTAATACTTAAGTAGGATTTTAAGCTAAGGACGTTTACCTAATAGAATAGTCTTACATTGTGATATTGGTTGTTTAACTTAAGTAAAGGATATGAGTACTTCTTCCACCCCTGCCATATTGATATTGCGTACATGCTGTGATACATTGAAAGTATTTCACGTCTACTCTTCTTTTATTAACCTTTGCTGGCCATTTCCATGTTATCCGGTGAGTGTTAATGGGAACTGAGAGACAGATTTTGATGTGATGACGTGCTGCCTTGAGCTGCGACCTCACTGCGATATGTCAACACAAGAACCAGCAGCTCAAGTTGTCACCCAGCCATCTGCTAACAGTCCGTCCTAAATGTCTGTTTCCAAGCACAGCCAATCCTCCCTCCAGATGAACCCTCAGAGGCTGATACAGTTAGCTGCCTATTTCTGAGTCCTAAATCCATCTTGCAATACTCGTAAAATGTTTAAATGCTGTTTATTGATTCGGTCCTTGAAATTGAATTGCAAAGATTAATTCCAAAATGTGATATCCACTATATCCAAAATATGATCCCTACTCTGCTTAACCGATTGCTGGCATGAGAGTAAAATATTCCAGCGGATATTTTGGGGGCTTTTAATTTAAAGGAGAGTGATGTTTAGTGCTGGTTTTTGAAATGCTGAACAGTAAGCTGAAATATTTTTCTCTCCACAACAAACTTACTATTGCAAAGAAACCAAATACATTTCAATATATTAGCATGCTATATCGTTCAGTGGATGATTCATGCGTATTTCATAAAACCACTCTCTCTCATGAAAATAATAACAGAAAAAGAAACCCAGAGGAACTCATTTGAAAGAGAGGAAAATACCAATGAGCAATGATAATCCTCCATGACTGGTGATCCCTACAATACCATCCTCCTCCTCCTCATCCTCTCCCCCAGTGAGAGTTGATGGGAGGAAAAAAGATCACATCCCTCTTCCTCCCTTTGCTCCAGAGACGGCAGCGCTTGCTTTTCACAGGGTGAGGGTAAACTGTAGTTTGCAGGAGGCCCAACCCCCTCAGCCTGCAGCCTCTGTTCCCAGTTTATTATATTAGCCTGTGCCCTTGAGTGTTTTGCAGCTAGGCTCATCCTTTGAACTAAGGAAAGAAAGCAGACCATGGCAGCCATACCATAAATCATGTGGGTTTAAATTCTGACAGCAAATGGCCTTGTAGTAAACCATCGCCAGGCTTAAGAAAACAGCGTCTTGATTGGCTGTGTTGGTAGGCTTGTTGTCCTCTTCTAGCTTTGAGATGGATCAGAAAAATACAGTCATTTATCAAATTCTCTTTGGCAATGAAAACCAAACGAATATTAGCAGCACGAAATGTCGTGTGATAAAGTCATGTCGATGCGAGAATCACAAAGAGCTGGGGGAGCAAGGATCAAATTGTCATCAACCGTATGCAGCTAGAGAGGCCTAATTACACCTAGCCATTGCTCAGAATAATTAAGACGGTTTCAGTGTCATTACTGACTCCCAAAGTTATAGCGTTGCAGAAGAGCCAGTCTGTTGAGGAGAATCATTCCTGGAGGGGAGCGGAAAGGAGGAGCAATTTTGGAGTCAGCCAACCAATGCACTGAATGTCACACTGGCCTTGCTGACCTCCATGCTTCATCTCACAAATGAATGTCCTTTCTACTGGCGGGGGAGGTGGGCACCCATATCAAATATTTCGGGAATCCCCTGCATTAATGGACTGATCATTAAACCCAACTAGAACGCTT